TCGCAGGGTTGCCAAACAGCTTTCTGACAAAGTCTTCCACTCGCGACATAGCACTCGTCAGCACAAGCTTTAATGGAAAAATCTGATCTCCGGGCCTTACAGTTTTCCCGAAAGCATCCACTTTCACTGGTTTTCATATGCTTCCTGTAATCACATGCAAGTGAGTGTGGAAAATGGGTTACAAACCTTGATTAATGTAAACTTTAGCAGCAAGAACTACTCTCAAGGTCACCTGACGTGCTATGCTAACACGCAAAAGCATTCCCATAAGCATGTCTGTGTTATAGCTCCGAACATGAACTTCATCAAAAATTATGACAGAGTATTGCTTCAACAAAAAATCACTCTGCACAATAAGAAACTAGATTACACAAAGAAGACAATAATGATACTTTTTTGGTGTAAAATACACATAATCCAAGCTCATATGCTACTCTCCTAGCAGTCGCATAGACTGCAACACGGTGAGGTTGAGTAACACGGATCATAAAGTCTGGTAACTAAATGTAGTCCAAGCTCATAGGATATAGGAGGGATTTACACATTGTGGAAATTTCGTTTTTCCTACAATTAGTATCTTCCTTAGAGGTGATAAGAAAGCATAAAATCTAAAAGCGTGATCTCAAATTGTCATCTTCAATTAATGTATTACACAGCCATTCTAAAGTTTTGAAATCCAAAATTTATTTTTCGGAAATGCATCAACGAATCATGGGATTCATGTATGTTGCCGTAGCAAAACAAATTATACGAAGAAAAAGAAAATAAGATAATTGGTAGAATTCACGACATGATGAATAATATATTAGATCACAAATCATATTTCTTGAACTTCACCTGATCACTCTTGTCAAGATCATCCTGCCTTGATTCATTTTTCTAGGGAGCTAAAACTTTACGTTTTACATTTTCGGATTCAACCTACAAAATAAAAGAAAAATGATCAGTCATTACGCAACCAAATTTCATAGATAGAGAAGAACTACACTCACAGACACCTCCAACTTCTTGTGCTTCATTTTCTGGGATTTGTTCATCGCCTTCGGTGGTTCACTGAGTTTCCACAGCCCTAGGGTAATCACATTCGAACATTCTTCATTTGAAATAACACGAGTCATGCGCACATTCGAACATTCTTGAATTAATCACACAAAATACTAGACGACGAGTTCTTTGTGCTCCCAATTCAAAGAATATGTGAGAATACTAATATAGCTTATGCAAACAAGGCGTGAAAATCCCAATTATTAAACTAACCAAGCCGGATATATATCTAGTAAATTGGAGTGTTAGCCCTTGAAATTTGAATCCCAGTTTCAATTTGCTCTCGAAATTATGTTTTATGATTCAAGAGTACATGGAACTTTTCAGAAAGACCTATAGCATTAACACTAGAGACTGATAGCGCTAGATATTTCCGTTAGTGTGCTCATATATAGTGTGCGTATAGAATCCACAATTTTGTTAATGCCTTACGTGCATGCTACTCAAATTCAAAATTATGAAAGAAATAAAAACTCTAATTATTCTATGGAAGGCATATATTACAACAAACGCCAAGGAATCTGAAGACCAAGAAGCAAACATGCAGCAACAAAAATTGACAACAAATCTAGAGTGCAAACTTAATTGGCACCAAGTACCAGTATCCAAAATAGTTGCACGTCAGGGTTTTAGGGTTTATGGTTTTACCTTCCACTTAAACTCAACGTTAAAAATGCTTGGGAATTTGATTTCACCCCTCAAAAAGGCATGGAGTTTTGCCATTAGATGGGTTCCGGCTGAGGGATGTTGTCAGGATGAGGAAGGGGAAGGGTGTTGAGCGAGTTCGTCCGGAGAGAGTGGGTTGCGTGCGTAGAGGGCCATATTTTTGTTGTAGAGAAGATTAAACCCCAATAATAATACAGAGACTCAGTTTTTTCTAAGATTGACATAACTCTTCAGTTTGATTTATTAACAAGAAAAATTGATAAAAGTGGTCACCTAGTTTGTCCATTGTAAATCATTTTGGTTCTTCTGTGAAAAATGTAGGGTAGACAAACTCAAGAACTACTTTTATTGTCGGGGAACCAAAGTGAGGAGTTATGTCAATCTTATAGGACCATTTTGGATAAAAGCCCAGTTTTTTCTTAGGGTTTATTGCGTTTTGAGTTGGTTTGGTTTTCAGTTTTAACCGCATATCAAACCACACCATTGAGTTTTCTAAATTCCAAACTACAGTGGCTTAAAACTGATGTAATTGGTTCACTAATATTGTGATTTGGTTTGGTTCAATTTGCTACACCTATTACCAAATTAAAAGTTTCAGAAATATAGTATTTACTGAAATTTATAATTATACTTCTAAAAATACCTCGTCAAACTGTCAACCTCGAAACTTAAATTTACAATCTCATAACTTTAAATACCTAATCTCATAACTCAATCCAAAGTCCAAAACTCATAATTCAAAGATGTGTAGTAAAATACTAAAATATATAATATTACTTATTTATCTTTTATATAATATTCTAAATATTATGTGCTATTTTATCTATACTAGGGGTGGGTTCAAAAAACCGAAAAAAACCGACAATCGAACCGGACCGAGGTCGAAAAAAACCGAACCGCAAAAAAACCGAACCGAAATTGTCAAACCGAACCGAACCGAATCTGACCAGTTCGGTTTCGGTTTTTGAGGCTCGGAAACCGAACCGACGATATATATATATATATAATTTTTTTGAATATTTATAAATAGTTTAGTCATACAATCATAACAAAACAGAACCTGTTGCCAAGTTGGTTTCAATGAAACCTTACAAGCTGGAGGCATGGGTTCGAACCCTCATGCCTCCAGGATTTGTGAGGTTATTTTTAATTTTTTAATCTTTTTAACAAAACCCTTAAACCTTTATTGCATTTGATTTTGTTAGATTATTTTAAATAACATTTTAATTAGTATCTTTTCTTTTATTATTTCTATGTAGAAATGGCAAGTGGAAATTCAAAAAAAGGTGATATGTTGCCCCCTAGGCCACCCAAGCGTTAGCAAGCAAATTGTCGTTGAAAAAGTACGTGGATCACTCTCATTGTGGGGCACTTGAAAGTTGAAATTTGGAATGTTTATTTTAGTCTTTTAGATGTGGAATACTTGAACTTTGATGTTTATTTTAAGTTTGGACTTTTGGAAGATTTAAACTTTGATGTTTATTTAACTTTGGACTTTGGAACACTTGATTATAATTAAACTTTGAATTGAATGTTTATTTTCATTGTCTTTGAGTTGAGACTATGATTATATTAGAAATTTGGAATGCTTATTTTGAGTCTTGACGATTATGTTGAAATAGGACTTATTACAAAATGGATGCAAGTTGTTTTCATATACTTTTTTTAAGCTACTTGGGGAAAAAAGCAAAAAAAAAAAAAAAAAAACCGAACCAGGTGGAAACCGAACCGAGAAAACCGAACCGAATACAAACCGAACCGAACACAAACCGATAGAAAACCGAACCGAACTGAACCGAACAGTAATTTCGGTTCGGTTTCCGGTTTTCGCAAAAACGAACCAAACGAACCGAACCCACCCCTAATCTATACTACATATCAATAAAACTCTCTTTGTCAATCAAAAAAGTGAAAACATATTTTTGTCTTCTATCACAACAAAAAAATTAAAGACACTAACATAATTTTACAAAGCAAAATTGTGATGTTTTTTGTTTAAGCTTCATCTACAAGTAATTTTATCATCTCTAATTTTAAAAAAATAAAAAATAAAAAGACAAGCCTTTCACTTTCTCTCCACTTCCACATTCTCTCTCTCTTTCTCTCTTCTTCAATTTTAAAACAAAAATAAAAATTTCACACACATTTTGTGTGTGGGCATATACTAATCTCTATTAATTAATAAAACACTCATTGTCAACCAAAATCCTATGAAAGTACCAGTTTAACCTCTAATTAAAACAGAACATGAATAAGAAATACGGAGCATAAATGTAATTTCACACAATCAAATTTTGCTGTTTTTTTTTTTCAAAACCTCACCTACATGTAATTTTAACATATTTCTAATTAAAAAATAAAAAATAAAAAACACTTCCAACTCCCACATTCTCTACCACTCTCTTCCTCTCTCATTCTATTTCAAAAACAAAAAAAAATTCTCACACACTTTATGTATGCTCATATGCTAGTATATTTTACCATAAGCCATTTGCATCTAATTGATTTTTTTGGTTTGGTTTGTCATATAAATTGAAATGCCAAATAAAAAAACAAACCAACTCAAATGATTTTGTTTGGTTGATTTTCAGATTTTTTATTTGTTCGTCTAACCTTGACTTTCCAAAGAAAACTAAAAGTAATTAACTAAATGATCAAAAACAAAATTTTGTTTGCGAAATTGATAAGATCAAATGATTGATATATTAGCCTTATATTATATACCATCATCACCCTTATATTATAATCTCAAACTTTTTTAAAAAATTGGTCAGATTGGCAGATCATAAACATTCAATTTTTGTCCGTTACACCTTCTTGAAAGTGCTCACGTGAGCCCCTTGCAATTCGTTGGATTTTTTTTTTTTTTTTTTTTTTAACATTGATATTTTTAAATTAAGAGTAAAAGTAGTTTGGCATAATAAGCAATTTAATTTTGTATCGAATTTTTTATCAACGAGATTGAAACCTAAGATCTATTATTACTAAATAAATATCACCAGACCATAATAATAACAATTCGTTAGAAATTTTATATTTGTAAATTGTAATTTTCCCTACATTTGCAGTGAGGAAACACTACATTTTCCTTAAAATCCTCAATTAATAACAAAAATATAAAATGAAAATACACTCCAATTTCTTTTATATATATATATATATATATATATAAGCAATTAGTTGATCACCATTTTTAATTACAAAATCTTAACTAATTAAATATTTATATGAAAAAAAAAACAACAAAAAAAAAAATATAGAAACCAAATTTACGAATTTACCTCTCCATCTGTTCATAGCCTGTCTCTTTCTCTCCGCTCTGAAAAATCTAGAGTCCCTTCTTCTCCTTCCTCCTCCTTTTCCATTTGATTTCCCTCCACAGATCTCCAAAATTCTCTTTCTCCCTAATTTTCTCTCTCTCCCAAACCCTAATTTTCTCTCTCTACACACTCTCTATTTCCCTCTTTCTTTCTGTCCGTCTCAGCAATCCACACTGATCGATTTCTTCGGCCGATGGTTCTAAAAGCTTCATGAATCTTTCCGATAAGGCGCGCTTCTCCCCTTTCATGGACCACCGCCACCGCCCTTACCATGCCTGAGCTGCGACCACGGAGAAACCGGGCTTCCGATAACCCTGACCCGAACCGAAACCCGCACCCGATCGTCAAGACCCCGCCCCGGAAGGCGATTGTACGGACTCGGCAGAACAAGAAGAATAATAATAATCAGAAGAAGAAACAGATTAATAATCAGAAGGAAAAGAAGGTAGCTAGTGCCGGCAAGCGGAGGAGGGCCGAGGGCGGTCCGGTGATTGAAAAGAGGTCGTTTAAGGAGGAGGCTGGTGAGAGAGCCATGGACGAGTACGATAGCGGCGGCCGCAGTGGCGATAAGGGTCCCGCAGCTGACGATGAGGGCGCAGCTCCTATTCCCGAGAAGGTCACTCTTTTTGTTCACTGCCTGCATTCCATTTCACTTTATTTTTTTAATTTTTAAATCTAAATATTATTTTTTGATTTTTTTTTCAATTTTTTTCTGTTGGGTTTTTGTTTGGATGATGCGTGGGCTGAGGGAAGGAGAAAAAGAGAAAGTTTTTGTGTAGTTTGTTTGTTCCATTCAAAGTCGCAGTCTTTATTTCCATTTTAAAGTCATATAAGCCATTAACTTTGAGGAAGGTCTTGAAAGTCTCGCATTCGCTGTTCTTCCGTGTTCTTATTTTGAGTGGGGTTGGGAGAATGTGGTATTTGTTTATCTGTTTTTCATTTACTTAAGTGGGCAATGAACTCTTTGTGAGTGGGGGAGTGCAGCAAAATGCAGTTTGCTTCGTAATAATGTGTGCGTCAGCTGGGAAATATTTGATTAGCATTTCCTAGTATTCTTTTTGACAATTTTGTTCGTTCTCGGATTTATTTACAACAGGTCCAGGTTGGTGGTTCCCCGGTATACAAAGTAGAGAAGAAATTGGGGAAGGGAGGCTTTGGTCAAGTATATGTTGGTCGACGCATGGGGGCCGGCCCTGGAGCTGTTGAGGTGTGTAGTTATCTTTTTATATCCTCTTGTGGCGTAACATCATTGCATAATCTGTTTTCTAGAAAGAAAACAAGTGTTATGTCGGGTTTGTATTAACATATCTGTTTCATCTAGGTTGCTTTGAAATTTGAGCATAGAAGTAGCAAAGGATGTAATTATGGTCCACCTTACGAATGGCAGATTTACAAGTAAGAGGCTCCCTTTTCTCTTGTAATATGTTTGATGGATGGATGTCACTTCCTCACCCTCACTGTCTTGCATTGTGACCCACTTAATCGTATGTCTATCCAGTGCACTTGGCGGTAGTCATGGGGTGCCAAGAGTTCATTATAAGGGTCGGCAAGCTGATTACTATATCATGGTATGAGTTGTTTGCTTAAATTTCATTTTAGGTGTAGTTTCTAATTAGCCTAGTTTCAGACTTATAAATCAACCCTACTCGGTATACAGGTGATGGATATGCTTGGGCCTAGTTTGTGGGATGTCTGGAATAACAGCTCGCACACGTAAGTTCTTCCTGTCTTTATAATGAAAATGTCAACCCTGTTAAAAAGATTTTCATTTTTCACCTTACTGTTTGCTTGCAACACTTATCACTGTCTGCCTATCTGACACTCCTACCTTTTAAATTTCAGGATGGCAATTGAAATGGTTGCATGTATTGCCATTGAGGGAATATCCATATTGGAGAAGATGCACTCTAGAGGGTGATATTTTATTTCAGAATTTCTTTCAATATAGTTATAGATGGCAGTGTACCTGGCTTCATAATCTCTGTGATGATGTTGATGGCAGTTATGTACATGGGGATGTAAAACCTGAGAACTTTTTGCTTGGCCCCCCTGGAACTGCCGAGGAGAAGAAGCTGTTTCTTGTTGACCTTGGATTAGGTAAGTCATTGTTATAGAATCTCCTTACAGCTGAAATTACTTGTCAGGTTAATTTACCTAATGCGTTGTCATCTCATATCCTGTTTTTATGTGACAGCCACCAGGTGGCGAGATTCAACTGGCCTGCATGTCGACTATGATCAACGTCCAGATGTTTTCAGGTGAAATAAACATTGATTAATTATTTGACTGTAAATATGACGATCTTTGCAAGTAACCCAAAAACACAAAGATTTTACTCATTGGTATACTGATCATTAATGTGCTGCAGGGGAACAGTGCGGTATGCAAGTGTGCATGCTCATCTTGGTAGAACTGGTAGCAGGAGAGATGACTTGGAATCTCTAGCTTACACCCTGATATTTCTTCTTCGTGGTCGGTTGCCATGGCAAGGATATCAGGTTGATAATTTCAAAATTTGTGTACGCTTATGTTTGATTATGTATGCCACTCTAACACAAATACACTATATTTTTTAGGGGGAAAATAAAGGATTTCTTGTCTGCAAGAAAAAGATGGCCACTTCCCCAGAAACTTTGTGTTGCCTATGCCCTCAGCCATTCCGACAATTTGTTGAGTATGTGGTGAATTTGAAGTTTGACGAAGAACCAAACTATGCAAAGTATATATCCCTTTTTGATGGAATTGTTGGCCCAAACCCAGATGTCAGGCCAATAAATACTGATGGTGCTCAGAAGGTATTTTGAATGTTCTTGCATCTATGCAGACTATATTTTATGGATGTTAGTTATAGATCTTCATTTGGAGTTCAGCTAACTTATACTTCTTGCATTGGAAAGCTTATATGCCAAGTTGGACAAAAGAGAGCAAGATTGACCATGGATGAAGAGGATGATGAGCAACCAAATAAGAAGATTCGTATGGGGATGCCTGCAATCCAATGGATTAGTGTATACAATGCTCGTAGGCCCATGAAGCAAAGGTATATCCTTAGAATTCTTACACTGGACTTTATAAATTCAAATTTGACCTATAAGTGAACTAAGTTTATGTTTTCATTTGTTGTAGATATCACTATAATGTTGCAGATGTGAGGCTCCCCCAGCACATTGAGAAAGGAAATGAAGATGGGTTATTTATTAGCAGTGTGGCTTCCTGTTCAAATCTTTGGGCTCTTATTATGGATGCTGGCACTGGCTTCAGTGCCCAAGTTTATGAACTCTCTCCATATTTTCTGCATAAGGTTAGTGATCCGTTATAACAAGAATGGTTGTCTGTTGATGTTGAAACTCAGCTTGCAACAAGCATTGTTGTTTATATCAGTGGGTTTTTTTCTCTTTTAGATTACGGTACATAGACAATTATGACTATTTCTTGTTTAAATGAACACATCATCATAATATTTCTCTGTTTCAAAGGAATGGATTATGGAGCAGTGGGACAAGAATTACTACATCAGTGCAATAGCAGGAGCAACCAATGGAAGTTCTTTAGTTGTAATGTCTAAAGGTTAGTCTAAGCATCTGTGGTTCTGTAGAGCTACCTTGTCAATCTAATTGTGCATCTGTTGTTCCGTAGAGCTGCATTGCAAATCTAAATGTCTAACTAGTCCTCTATTGCTTTATACAGGGACCCAGTACTTACAGCAGTCCTATAAAGTCAGCGAATCATTTCCTTTCAAGTGGATTAATAAGAAATGGAGGGAAGGATTTCATGTTACAGCAATGGCAACTGCTGGGAGTAGATGGGCTATTGTTATGTCCCGCGGTGCCGGATTTTCTGACCAGGTTTTATTTGGATTACCAAATATCCTATCTATTGATATGCATGTTGGTGTGGAGAAAATATATCTGATAAGTGTATTTGGCCTCCCTTGAAATGAGCTATTTTAGGTTGTGGAACTAGATTTTCTCTATCCAAGTGAAGGCATTCATCGAAGGTGGGATAATGGTTACCGCATCACGTCAACTGCAGCAACTTGGGATCAGGCAGCTTTTGTCCTTAGTGTTCCAAGGAGAAAACCAGCAGATGAAACTCAAGAGACGCTTCGGACTTCTGCTTTTCCTAGTACACATGTTAAGGTGGAATATTTGATTACTCATTTTCTTTGTGCTTGCCTTTTTCTTTTTATTCTTCATTCTGAAAGCTCAAGTTTCTCTGTGGCAATTGTGCAGGAGAAATGGGGAAAGAACCTTTATATTGCATCAATTTGCTACGGTAGAACTGTCTCATGAACATGCAAGTAGATGCCGCTGATGGAATTCTGATAATTCACCTTTATGAGCCACAAGCCAGCTTTTACCATGTAGTGCCTGTCCAGAAGCAAAAGATCCTCTCACGGGAAATTGATTGGTCTTGGCATTTTGGGAGTTGATGTACGCTTAACTCTTCTTTATTGCCACCATAACATAGCATCTGTTACAAGTACATGTGCACTGTCTTCAATCTTTTGACCTTATTATATATCTCACTGGGAAGTTGTTTATTCGCTCCCATGGTGAATTAGTTTGTATATTGCCGAGCAATAATTCCTTGGGTTGAAGGAATGTGCACAAGTCATGTTTTGATTATCAATAGAATATGGGAACGTACATCTATGACTAGCTGTGATTTTGGACATTCTTATCCCTTCAGTTTGTGCTTAGTTTTTATTTTATTTTTTTTATTTTTTATTTTATTTTGAGGGGGTGAGCTTCTTTGTGGACTTTAAGATGAGATGTCCCAATTTGACCATTAAACAGAAAGCAGTTGTATAATTCAAAGTATCATTGTGTAATGGTTTCGTAGTCATCTTATTTATTTTTTAGTTAATCTCGATCAATTTCCAAATGCTTGTGTCCTTTTATTTATAACTGCTGAGTATGTATTCTGACCTTTTCTTAATCTGTACATTACGCATAGGAGTTGCGCTCTATGACCATGCTAGATTTTCAGTGAATAAATGAGTATTGCAGGTTAAATAGTTGATAATTTTGGTCGAAGTCTCTGAAGCAGAACTGCTGTAGGGAAGGTTATATTGCACCAGTGTATAAATAAGATCTATGATGCCGAGAAAGATGGACCCTTCTTGCCCATTGGTAAGTTTTACGTCCGAAGGAAATTTTGTGCAAATCTCTCTTGCAGTTTATATTGTAATTTTCTGTGTCTGATTTTGTAGCTAAAAGATCTTGTTATCGATTGGCATTCATCATCTGTTACACCACTCGTTCTTCTGTGTGTACTCAAGTTAGTAAGGATTCTCTTCCTGTCCCGTTCATTTTACTTCTTTAATTGTTTTATATGATGTAAACTGTTCTCTTCGTGTTTCTAATAGATTCAAGTTGAGCTGCATGCGAGACTTGGTGGCTCTTGCATATCCATCCGTGATGCTGCTATTGGTGGAGGTGCGTGTTTTCAAACACAAGGTAAGCCATCTTTCTTTAAATAACTTCCCAACACCCAACCCTCGCCCTGCCCTGGTGACTATTGTTAAACGCTAATTGCATACTGCTTTTTGTCTTGTGTGACTGCATCATTTTGCTGCAGTTCGGTCTAGTTGCATATATGAGCTTGTAAGTCGGTTACTGGTACTTCTTAGGAAACTTAATAATAGTAGGTGCTAGAAGGAAGGTGGTTAAACGTAACAGGCAGATTAAGAGCCAGAAAAATGAGTGTTGCACCAAGACTATGTGTTTGCTTATGCCAAAAAACATTGGTCCTTCTTTAGGGAAATAAAGAGGTAAAGAATGAAGAGCCTTGGCTTTGTTCGGAAGCTGCAATGGGTAGTTTTAGGCCTGATTTGGTATTGAGGTGATTCTGAAAAAAGATGGTATAAAAAAAAGTTAGGAGCTGTTTTTGTATTTGGTTAACATTTAGCTTCAACTTTTTTTCACAGTTTTGGATGAAAAAAAGCCAAAAACAAGAAGCTGCAAACTCTAAAAACATGCTTTCAACAATGCATCTCGTGTTTCGACCATAAAAACAATGCATCTTGTTGATAAATCATATATATTACTATTTCCAATGTGCATGCGAATCTATAAGAAAAATGTGCTTCACCCATACAGAATACAGATACAGCCTTCCATTCAACTCCAAGCATTTGGTTTCCTTTTCAGCTGCAGATCTAAAGTGATATTAGCCACGGCATTGCCGTGCTGATTTTTCTGGTTTGAACTGATCGATCATACTTATTTCCGCCAGTGTCATGATTTGGCCTTTTCAGATGATGAATCCATGCTGAACTCGAGGCATCTAGGTTGAATTTAATCAGAATTTACCACTGTCAAAGTGAAGCAGTAGCTGATTTCATCTTTTTAAATATATGAATTTGCAAAGTTCTAAAAGCCGTCATAAAACCTTTTTTGGCAGCATATACGGTCTCATAAGCTTTTTACATTCCATGCATGACACTCCATTGATGGCTTTGTTGCTAGAAATCCATTCTATGTACGCTTATTTTTGCTTTCCCCGAATGAAAATTCAATAATAAAAGTATAGGGTAAATTGCAGTTTAACCCCCTAAACTATTATACCAGTTGAAATTAACCCCTTGAACTATTTTTTTTGGTAAATTAACCCCCTAAACTATTTAAAATCAACCAATTAACCTCTTGCCGTTATATTTCGTTCATCATTCAATCAAATTCAAGGGAAAATTAATTATTTCATTATCAATTCTTACTTGTCAATGATAAACATCAATAAAATTATCACACATGGATACAAAATAATGTGTAAAACATATAGCATAATAAGAAAACAAAATAAAAAACCAAACATTTATATAACGGATTATATCACATTGTCATTACACATTATCTTGTGTCCATATGTCATCATTTTATAGATGGTTATAGTTGACAAGTAAAAATTGATGATGGAAAACTAGTTTGCCTTTGAATTTGACAAAATAGCGGATGAAATTCCATTGACAAAGAGTTAATTGGCTAGATTCAAATAGTTCAAGGAGGTTAATTTACCCCAAAAAAATAGTTTAGGGGTCAATTTCAATTGAACTAATAGTTCAAGAGGTCAAATGGCAGTTTACCCGATCAGCCGCTTCCAAACGCATTTTATGAACTGCGAGACATACAATGATCGTCTTCTATACCTGTGATCGTATGCAAAGTAGAACCCTAGTCTATTCTGTGTAGACTCACACACATTCACTCCCACCGTACGAACATAAATGGGTTCTGGTGATCCAAATCCACAAGCGCCATAGATTGCCGTATATCGACCACCCAAGCATGCCTCGTCTCTCTTGCCTTCACACAGCTCGAGTACAAAAAAGGTGGATAAAACTGGGCCGGCGTTCACTGAAAATCAACTTGAGAAAACGCATGCAGCATCTGATGTTTTGGGCGACAACACAATCTCCTCAAACGGACTCATTCCCGGAGGACATTAAACATCATCAGATCAATGGTTAAGTACCTCGAGACTGAATTGAAAAAGGGGAAGGAAAAAAAAAAGGATTGGCAATACTCGCCTCGCAGTTGTCGGGACTATATCGGATTGTGAAGAGACTCCGGCGGCCCCTTATATCGTGCATTTGCCTTGGATATCTGTAACATGGGAATCGAAGTGGATTGCTTCATCTCTCCTCTCCTAGTAATTAACGAAACAACTAAAATGTTAGAGGCTACCAACTTGAAAGATCTAACGGTTAATTTACACCAAAATATATGCTACAGCTTTGGAATTACCAGGATGCAGAGGACATGATCTCCAACCTTCAATGTATAACATTCTGAATGCTCCAGTGGCACGGAGCGCTCCCGCACTGCTTTTTTCACATTAACCCACTCATCCTCTTTGGCTCCGAATCCGACAAATATGACACTAACTTCCTTTAATAAATGACAAAGGTCACTTAATGAACTTATATGGCTAGGTCTGGTATTTGTACGCTGTTTTCCAATCCAAGTGGTCTCCAACTCTCCGGTACTTATACGTACTCAAAGTTCAGACCAACGTGTCGATCAGCAGTATATTCATGGATAGAGGCAATAAGTTGTGATTTAGATACTTACAGTTTCGCCCGTACTAAGGAATCTGTGAGCAAGGAACTTTTCAACATCATACCTGCAAAGCGATATAAGAGATTCAGAGAGAGAGAGGAGAAGGGCTGATAGGGTTGGAGGAAAAAGATAGAAAGCGTCTCATGGTCTCAAAAAACATGTAGAGCTTCAGTCAGTTAAAGCATACAGATATAGCATAACCAACCAGAGATGAAAATTGAATGAAAGAATGAAGTTTGGAGAGCTATTTTACACTCGAAGAATGACTTTCGAGGTGAAGCCTGGACCTCAACTCAGGTGAAGAAAAAGCTTTTTCCAGAAGAATTACAATCAAAGCAATCAGGACATAAATTCAACAGCACACACAGTTGAAGATTGTCCTATCTCTTGGCTTAACAATGAGGTGGCTAAACAGACATCGATCGAGGCACTAAACTTGTATCATCGGCAGGTTAGTTAGGTGTACATGAGGATCTATTTCCTTACATCCTTCACCAAATGCCTCGTATCAATCTTTTCATGATTTGTAACAAACGCCCAGTTTGCTATGCTCACCAAATTAGGCACAAGGTTTTGCCACAAAAAAATGCTAATAACCAACAAGATAGCAATAACGACAAACTGATGCATCCAACAAGAACAAACGTTCAAAGCTTCGATTATCTCGGTTGGTCTGTCATTCACTATTTTTCTATTTTTGGGTACAATCACAATAATCTGATTTAACCAGTTTTTAAAAGCCTTAGAAGCTTGTATGGTACTATAACCTAGACATAAAGCAACAAGTACTTGTGAGAAGCACATTTAGGTATTTCAAAACTTTTGTGTGCCTTATTCGAAGGGCAATTTCTGGATATGTTTGGTGACTCCTTCACCCTATTTTCGAACCAGCTTTGCAACTAGGACCATTCCAACAGAGAAGCGCTTTAGACACGATTAATCAATGCTGCCTTAGGGTAAAACAACGGTAACAAGTACAATCAAATGAAAAGCAGAAAAAGAGATGAAAGTGTTAACCTCAGTCCATTTTACAATAGGTTTCCCAGCACGAGCTGCAGAGCGACTGCACAGGCATAAAACACCAAAGCAGGAGTTAGAGTCCGAAAGAAGGATCATTCGGAAAGGGATTCAATCAAATACGATATGAAAGTCTAAGCATGAAATGAAACTCACTTAAAACTTTCTGCAGCACTTTGACAGAACTCTCGTTCCAGCACTTGCTCTCCTAATTCCCTCATCAATTTATCCATTTTTTCTGTCTGTTGGGAATTGCGGGAGCGAAAAACCAAAGTAAGTTCATCAGATATTCCCAAATTGCGAATTCAAATAACCCTAAAATGCAATGCTAATCACATTAAGCAAGCAGTAATCTCAAAAGAACACCTCAGAAGCTTTGGCTAATACCAAAATCGGCACTGATCACCAATATTTTAAAGCAATACCCAGATTACTGTGAACAAAATTAAATGAAATTTAAGGGAAATTAGAGAAAAAGGTAGAGAATTTGAATTCATTACCTCGGCCATCGTAAAGCCGATGAAAATCTCTCTGTTTCTGGGACGAAGACCGTCCATTCTCTCTCTCTCAAACCATACCTTTCTGGAATTTGATTGCTTTCCCGCTCTTCCTTTCCTCTGTGTAAAACCCTAGAAATTGGAAAGTGGCTCCTGTGATTCTGATTTTTTATTTTTTATTTTTAATTTAATTTTTATGTCTTGTCAAAGTCAATCCCCTTCAAATCTATCTCTCTCCCTCCCTCTCGCTGCTTTCTCTGTTTCTCACATTGGAAAGCGAAAACGGTCTGAGTAAGGTGTTTGTCAGGATATATGGGCTTCTGACAGGCCCAACTCAATCACCAGCCCAGAAAAGGGTGGTCGGAACCTTGTCCGTTTCATAGGTCTCGCGGGCTCCTTTTTGTTTTTTTAACAAATGATATTTTTTACATTATGGAGGTGGAGAGTGTGCTAAACCTCACAATATGCTTCAAATTCATCTTTAACAAGAATCAAACCTAAGATCTTTCACTTACAAGTGAAGAAAATATTACCATACCATAATACTTTGTGAAAAATATTACTTCACTTACAAGTGAAGAAAAATACTACAAGTATGACCTTTTTTTGTTTTTCATTTTTTATTTTCACTTTGTGTCTTCGAGCTAAGAATGGATGAAGAAATGTGATGGGAGAAAGGGGATGATCAATGGGTAAAACCAATATTATTTTGAAATTGAAAACAAGATTTATTAGTTTATATCTAAATGTTTAAAACATTTGAAAACAATATTATTCGAACAAAAATGTGGGCTGGGTTAGTGGTGTGCCCCACATGTGAGAGTGGAAAACGAAAGGTGAAGCCCAAATGCCCAGCCCTCACCTGCGCACGCCCTTGCATGCGTCTACTTTGCAGCAGCCAGACCTGGTCCCCTAGCTGTCTAAAGGTCATAATGAACCTAACAACTCTTTTTTCTAATCCATGACCACAATTTAAATGGGCCTGTTGGTTGATCCAACGGTCCACGTTCAAATTTTTTTTTCTTTTATATTTGTAAATTTATAGTATCCAACAATTGAGACCGAATATGATCAAATCTAATAGTAAAAAAAAAAAAAAAAAAAAAAAAAGATCTAACGGCCAAATTTAAATCCAATGACTAGAATAATTAAAATATATATATTTAACTCAAAATTCACCCAAAAACTCTATAAATACTTATGTATTTGTTCAAACATTCACACAAAACTCAAATTTCTCCTACAATTTTTCCAGTTTTTCTTTCTACCATCTTCCAAGGACCTCACCTTTAACCATGGTTTATTGATGATCTAATTTAGTGATTTTTCCATAGCGTTTCATGAGTTTCATGTTTCTATTTAGTGATTTTTCAATATTTATCGGAATTTAAATATTTTTAGGTTAAAATGTTCATAAAATTAAGTTAGGATAGTCTACATAATTTTTGTTTTTAAATTTAATTTAAAAAAATTTTGCCTAAATTTATTCTTTAATAATCATTGGCTAAAACTTTAGGCCATAATGGTTGGAGTAGAAAAACTGTTTCTAGGTTAAAACCTAAATTTTCTGGACTAAAAATTTTAGATTTTACTTCAAGGATTGGAGATGTTCTTAAAAGAGCAGGACTCTTACCATCAACTGTTCTACAATGTTGATACTTGGTCACATGCTAATAGTGACTAGTGAAGCACATGTAACATAAAAATTACATATAATAATAACTCACACTTTTGTCAATAAATGACGGTTTTAGTCTTCAATCATACATGTAGTAATAAGTCGTGAATTGTCTTAATGAATGTGAATTTTTTCTTCATTCACTCTAGGTGAATATGATTATTTTTTTAATTTATCGTGTTTTGAATTTATTAAAATAAAAAAAAATAACTCTTATGTCGTTTGACTTGACCAAGACTTGGGGCTTATAGGAGAGGACGAATTCATAATAATTGAACTTGACATAGCTTAATTTGTAGGCAGTTTCGAATGTTAGGTAAAACTCTTTTTAGGGGTCCAACAAAATCATCACGCATCCACATGCATCAACCATGATGAATGAAAGAACGGAAGCAAGTATGAACTAATTCAAGGACGTTGGCTACCATTCATATTCAGACAGGCATGTGCCTGTGTTTGGTGTTAGGTGCGATGCCAAAATTAATTTAAAGTTGATTTTGTGGGAGTACGAGAAAGTTGGAGCATTAGTTTCTAAATTTTGGCTTGATTAAATTTTTTATTTATAAACTAAAAATTGATTCTGAACTTGTCACAATGATAAGTAATGAGTAATTATGTTGGTAACACCGTTAGAGTTTTCAACTAATATAAATGGTTTGAAGGGATAAATAAATGATGAAACTTTTGATGGAGTTATCCAAAAGGATTACTACTTCACGTTGCAACAAATTCAATGACCAATACTCATTGACTTTTATTTTAAGGACTAAACCTTTAATTCGACTGCAATTCAAAAACCAATGCTCCAATTTTCTGGAGTCACAAACAGAGCTGTGCACATTCTTTCACGAGGTGCCTGTCAAAAGATTAATACAAATGTACAAAGGTTTCAGACTGGGTAGTCTAGGCTCTTGAAGACTTCTCAACCCAAATGTGATTGTAGCGGTGCACAATTTAGTTCTAAGAGTGGTAGTTTTTCTTTTGGTTGGAATTTACACAACAACTTGGAACAGCTTCAAACTGTCGAGATTGGTAGCATAATTATTTTTTAGAAAAACTAATAAAAATGGCTTGAAAACTTTAAGTTTTAACGATAAGGACAAAATAAAAGGTAAAGTGAATAGTATTAGGATTAATTTTTAATATAAAAATATAATTTTTCATTTGTTAAAAGTCCTTTTTTTTTTTTTTTTTTACCATAAAGTCATGAGTGGCCCAAAAATAGTAGGTCGTAGTCTTATCTATATGTTGGGAGTCGGTATATTTGAAAATAAAACGACTTTCGACATGTTCATACGGATAGAAACATGCATGCATGCTTGCCGTGGATTTTGGATCAGGCCGTATCACCATCATTAATCACGCGGTGTATAATAAGCTTACGCATATTTTGATGTCCATGATTAGTTCAATTGAATAAATCACTAGATTCATTAAAAATAAATACTCGACTGTATATTTTGTCCAAATAAAGTAGAAGATGGATTAGTTATAAAGAAAACTTATTCCCACAAAAATAGTAGGATTGGAAGGATAAACTTTGTTTAATTTTGATTAATCTATTGTCTAATTTCAATATTTACAAATATTGCAAATTAGCATATATTTCTTCGCTCAACATTTATCGAATCTAATGAGTTAACAATTTCAGTGAATCATAAACACCAAACAATACCTTATGTTAAAATACTTGTTTTGTTACACACCACTAATCAAATGCTACACAATAAGTTGTTGAATAAGATTACTCATATGTGATTTGCAAGCTAACTCCTATTTAATGATATCACTGATTTGCGAATAATTGCATGAGTATGACATATAATCAAAACAACTAAACAAATTACTTAAGTAAATAATTAGCTACAAATAAAAATAAAATCTCCAAAAGTAGGAAAAGAAAACTTGTTTGACAGGTCTCGGTCAAATTCCCACAGATGAAAGTGCGGATCGTTCACCATTAAGAGCTTTGATACAATTCACGAGAGAATTTTCAGTGTGTTAGGAATACGATCTAGTATATTAAGTATAAGAATACAACTGCTTGAAAATTTTAAAAAAAAAAAATCAATTAATTATACTATAATACTTGATGTACCAAATTATATTATTCAGGTATACTAGACCGTGTTCCTGTATAATAAAATATTTCTCCGAAGGCACAACAGGTTGAGTGGATTTCAAACAGATAATAGCTTCACCAGTTACCACCTCAGGAAGTCAGAAGCTATTGGCCAATGCTTATACATGCATAACACATCCATCACCTGCACCAGAGATTTTTAGACGTAATCAAAAGACCGACACCACGACACGTGATGATATTGTTCTTCTACTCAAACTATATTTGGTAAGAAGACTAAATTTGTAGATTAAATTTTGAAAACTAAAGGACATAGAAGTTAATGATTGATTTATTTAAGCGTTAATAAACATATTCATTTCTATTGGTGACACATCATTTAGTTTGCAAATTTAATCTCCAAATTTAGTCTCCTTAGCATTATCCCTTATTTTATAGCAATATTTTGTAGGGTATACCAGAGAGACTAAATATATAGACTAGAAGTAATACATGACACTTCATGATGACAAATGTTCTCAATGCAAATAAAAAATTCTTCGTATAAATACGAGAGATTCTTTTCTCGTATACCCACAAATAACGGCACAAAAGTATTATCCTCTTTCTTATAAAGAGGAATAAAGTAACTACTACCAAGACTTGGTCAATTTTGATAAGTATTTTTTTTTTCCTTTCGTTGAATGATTCTAGATCTTGTTTGAAAATGAAAAATTTATGGAATGAAAAAGGTGTAAAAAAAAAAAAAAATATTACGCGGAGAATATAATGGCATATGGTGATCAAATCAAATCATGGAAGATAAAGCGATGAGCATTATGGTAGAGTGGTAGGGCAGGCTGGGGAATGAAGAAAGTGACAATAATAGTCGTACGCGTGAGCAGTATTTTTTAGCAACATCATCTCACATCAGACTCAACTGATCTTGGCAAATATCTTCTACATGTAACATATGAGTTTTTAAGAAACATCATCTCACATCTAATTAAGTGGTTAGGTCATATTTAAGGCCATGTGACAGCCAAATGATTAGTGGGATCTCGTTCGGTTCCAGCCAACATTGAAGATGCAGAATTGATAGTACGTGAAATGAAATGGAAAATATCAATCAAAATAATGCATTTTTGCTTTTGGAAGCACAGTCAAAATGAATAATGATGTATATTGGGAATTAATAATTGAATGAGTGCCTGTGACAAACGGGTTATGCGTAAAAGTGACTCATGTTCATTGAGATCGTGGAATTGTAGTTCACATCAACGAATGAAAGTCACCAACGAGCGCATAACAAAAGCTTTAATTAGTAGTTGATCAAAGTACGTATCAAACAAACATGACGTAAAAAATCATTTTGTAGATAGTGATCAGGGCGTTTTGGGTTGATGATTTATTAAGTATTTTGTAGGTGTTGTGTCACTGTGTAGTATCTACTTGTGTAGTGTTTAATTAAGATGAACTGTATCATTATATAAGAAAAACAGTAGTAGTAAAGAATGTGTTACCAAAATAAATCATTACATCATTGTCTAAAGAGCATTGAGCAATGAATGAATTTTAGGCGTTGTTTCAAGTTATACTCTTTGAGAAGGAGAAGGAGACATAATGTTCTGGTATGCACACCCTTTAAAAAATTATCAAAAATATGTTGTATTTTTTAATTTTTTAATTTTAATTTTTTTCATGTTTTAGTTGAATAATGTAGCACACGTGGGTACTTCTGTTCTCTTTGACAATGAAACCTACCTTGTTTTTAAAGCCCTCTGTAATCCCAAAAAGGAAGGAAAGTAAAACCGAATCCCACCTTTTATTCCCCTATAAAATGTGGGAGGTTTCTTGTTTTGCAAAACACAAAAAAGTTTGCAGCTTTTGCCTGTTTTGGTTTCTGGGTTGTTTTTATTTTCTGGGTTTCATTGGAGGACTGCAGTGTGATTTGCAGAGGAGAATAGTGGTGGGTTTTCGATTTGGAGATCGAAAAAAGGTCGGAGCTTTGATGGGGAGCGTAGTGGAGGAGATAAGCAACGGTGGTGGCCACTCAGTGGTGAATGTGGAAAGTAAGGCTGACTTTGGTGGAGGTCTTGTGGACGTGTACGGTGAGGATTGTGCCACCGAGGATCAGGTTCTCACACCATGGACTGCCTCTGTTGCCAGGTAACACACACAGAGCTTCTTTTTCCTTGTTACGAATTTTTGTCTGCAACTGAGTTTATAACTCTTATTGTTGTCCTTTTATGCAAGTTTTAAGTTTATTTTAGTTTTCTTTAAATACTCTTATTATTGTCCTTTTATGCAAGTTTTAAATTTATTTTAGCTTTCTTTAAATTGTCCTATTCTTCCCTTGAAATTTGTGTTTGTTGATGCTCATTTTAGTGAGAAAATTATCCATATTCTCAATTTTTCATGTTTGGTTATTCGAGATATTTTGATATTACATTATTCTAGTTTCGTTTGATAACTATTTCATTTTTAGTTTTTAGGGTCGGAAACCATATTTTTCAAGTGTATATTTGCGGTTTTACTAAGCCTTAGGCTTCTTCTCTCTTTTTATACCACACCTGCTGAAAACCATGTTTCTTGTTAATGAATCATCTCGCAGAAAGTTAAATATGCATAATTTGGTTTGTTTTTTAAAGCATCTTCTGCAATGTAAATGTGTTGCAGTGGTTACACATTGCTGCGTGATCCACACTACAACAAAGGTCTTGCCTTCACCGAGAAGGAGAGGGATGCACATTACTTGCGCGGCCTTCTGCCTCCAACCGTCCTAACCCAGGAGCTTCAGGTCGCAAAATGACCTTACCTCACAGTTCATTTTCGTCCTCCGTTTCATTTTCAGTGATTTATTTTGTTGTTTAAATTTCGGCTAAACTTTGTGCCATAATTTCGGTGACCCAGGAGAAGAAGCTGATGCAGAATCTTCGCCAATATGAAGTTCCGTTGCATAGGTACATTGCCATGATGGATCTTCAGGTAATTGTCTGCTTGAACAGGCTCTATATCAGTGCTTGAGATCATTGTCAATCACAATTGCTATCAAACAGGGTCGTCGTCACTAAGTTTTGCTTCTTTTCTGGCGGCGTTCTTGTTTTATTGTGCAGGAGAGAAATGAAGGGCTGTTTTATAAGCTTTTGATTGACAATGTTGAGGAACTGCTTCCTGTTGTGTACACGCCAACAGTTGGTGAGGCTTGCCAAAAATATGGGAGCATTTTCAGGCATCCTCAGGGTCTTTATATCAGTTTGAAAGAGAAGTACGGCTATCTGATAACGTTTTTACTGAGTCTCACATGTTTAGTTGAATATCTGTCAAACATATATTGATTGGCGAACTTTTCAGGGGAAAGATCCTTGAAGTACTAAAGAACTGGCCGGAGAGGGGTATTCAAGTTATTGTCGTGACTGATGGGGAACGTATTTTGGGGCTAGGTGATCTTGGCTGCCAGGTATTTGTTGCAGATTCTACTCAGTTGTTATGTACATATACAGTATTGAACTGTTTCGTTTAAATCCAGTACATATTTCATTTGGAATTGTTGCCTTTGTCTTTGGTTGAATCGTTGTCACCTTAATTAACATCAATGTTCCGAAATTTTCAGGGCATGGGGATTCCTGTTGGAAAGCTCTCTTTGTATACTGCACTCGGAGGAGTTCCTCCTTCAGCGGTAAGCATTTCCACAACTGTTGTCCCCTTTCTTTGAGTTCAACAACACGAGCAACAGAAAATTTTGCCTGTACATACAGAAATTTTAAAATCTGTGTTTTTGTTTACAGTGCTTGCCTATAACCATCGATGTTGGAACAAACAACGAGAAGTTGCTGAATGATGAGTTTTACATTGGGATTAAGCAAAGGAGAGCAACTGGACAGGTTAAATATTTTTTCACCTAAGTCTTGTGTTCTACTTTGTAAGTCACCATAGTTTTAAGAAGTTTTAACCACGTGAAATATATGGTTTCTGTAAAATTGAGGTGGTCTTTTACCTTTGTGATTTAGGAATATGCGGAGCTTCTCGAAGAATTCATGACTGCAGTTAAGCAGAATTATGGGGAGAAAGTCCTAGTTCAGGTAGAAGTCTTTCCTATCCTTAATGTAATTATGTTTATGAAACTCTTCTGTCCTACGTGGTTTCATCGTCCTCTGAATAACCAGATTATCGTTTGCTATTTCTTTCTTGTTCCTTCTTTAGTTCGAAGATTTTGCAAACCACAATGCATTTGAACTGCTGGCTAAATACAGCAAGACTCACCTTGTCTTCAATGATGACATTCAGGTAACATATTAGACTTTCGTTTCACAGTTAGCAATCTTTCTTCCCGGGATGTTTACAACTATTTTCTTTCAATTTGGTTCAGGGAACGGCATCTGTGGTCTTAGCAGGGCTCGTTGCTTCCTTGAAATTACTTGGTGGAACATTAGCTGACCATACCTTCTTATTTCTGGGTGCTGGAGAGGTGAGGCTTGAAAACTATTCAGACAGTCTGTATATTCATAAATGCCCTGATTTTTGGATGTTTTTAACTTTGCTTCTTGGCTACTGAAGGCTGGAACCGGAATAGCAGAGCTTATAGCTCTTGAGATATCAAAAAAGGTATAAACTTGCTTACCTCAAATCGCCTGTTCTCCCCGTAAATGCTTTCTTCAGCTAAGCATTTGTGATTAACGATGTGTTTTCATCTTGGCAGACCGGCGCTCCATTGCAAGAAGCTCGCAAGAAGATTTGGCTTGTGGATTCTAAGGTACTTAAAATCTGATCAAATTCTTCCCTTCGAACATATGCATTTGATCCGTTTATCTTCCTCTTTTCCTGTTTCTTTTACTTTGTTTTTTGATATAACTGAGGCATTACATTCTTTGCAGGGACTGATTGTTAAATCTCGCCTAGGATCACTTCAACACTTTAAGCAGCCTTGGGCTCATGATCATGAACCAATAAAGGAACTTGTAGACGCCGTGAAGGTGTGAAATTATACTTGAACATAACAATGTCTTTCAACAATTTCTCCTCCTGTTATCTTACACATCCCTAATTCATCAGGCAATCAAGCCAACAGTGCTGATAGGAACATCTGGTGTGGGAAAACAGTTCACGAAGGAGGTCGTTGAGACCATGGCCTCCTTGAATGAGGTTCGGTCTCTCCCTCCCTCCCTCTCTCTCTCTCTCACACACACATATATGATGATCAACGTAAGTGACATTGATCTGGTGTATGGCCACTGCAGAAACCACTTATCCTTGCTCTTTCCAACCCAACATCGCAAGCTGAGTGTACCGCTGAAGAAGCTTACACATGGACAAAGGTAATCAATCTGCTCTTTCTTTCTTCCCCTTCCTCTTTTCTCTAATTTTCGTTGGGGTTATAACGCGGCTAGATGAACTAGCAGAACCCTATTTAACAATCACATCGTTTTTCTCATACGAAGGGTCGAGCAATCTTTGGCAGTGGAAGTCCATTTGATCCTGTCAAATACGAGAACAAACTCCTAGTGCCTGGCCAGGTTTGTACCTTCCAACTCAAGCAACTCTTCTTGTTATGAATCACTCTCTTCATTTGAAGACACTAGGATCTTACTTTCGCCTAACCACATTATTCAGGCCAACAACGCGTACATATTCCCCGGTTTTGGCTTGGGATTGATCATGGCTGGTGCCATTCGTGTACACGATGACATGCTTTTGGCAGCCTGTAAGTACACGAACAATAACCTTCAAATGAACACCGATTCTCTTTCTTATCTGCAAAAATCCTCTAAATCATTTGATTTCGCGACAGCTGAAGCTCTGGCCACGCAAGTTTCCGAGGAACACTACGCCAAAGGAATGATCTACCCGCCATTTACCAACATCAGAAAGATATCAGCCAACATTGCAGCTAAGGTCGCTGCTAAGGTCTATGAACTCGGTAAGTTTCTTTCTGAGTTCGTTACAAATACCGTGCTGTAACACATCTTACTAAAGTTCGTGTTTTCCATTTGGTTTCAGGTCTGGCTTCTAATCTGCCTCGACCAAAAGATCTCGTCAAGTATGCAGAGAGCTGCATGTACAGCCCGCGCTACAGAAGTTACCGTTGAATTCCGCCTGTTTCGTGGTCTGCAACTTCTACGATCCACCATTTTTTTTTACCACTAAAAATTTGAATTCATTTGGTTGTTTTGTTGGTAGGAGGGCACTTTTGTTCCTAGCTTTATTTCCACTAGAACTTGCCAAGTTTTTGTTATTTTTTCTTCCAATTTAGGAAGATTATATTTATTTTTCTGCCAAAAAATGGAGCAATAATCGATTGTAAACGCCTCTTACCATTTGATGACTTGACATAGGACTCGTTCGGAAGTGATTTTGAGATTGTCAGAATCACTTCTAATGAGAAGCATCACTGTTGTTTCCAATTCTAGATGCAACATGTTTTCGACACAGAAACTAATGCCAGACTCAGCTCAGAATGATTAAAATACTGATCCAACATATAATACTTGCAACTTGATGAAGTTTAACTAAAAATCGACAAAGTTTCTTAACCCAGAAAGAATTCTGAAAAATGATAAGAACTACACTTGCGATGTATGAATTGTCGAATATTGGCGAGTACAAGGTACATCGGTTATGTAGATTCAGAAGAATGGTATTAATTTGCAGATAGGAACATGTAGCTATACAAATCAAACTCGTTACATGGTAACAGTAAATTCAGGCAAGCAATTACACGTTTGAGATACATTAGACTTATTAGTGCAGGCCATTAGACTTACTAGTGCAGGTCATCAGAAACTTGGGAACTCCGAATTCCCCAAAAAAATTTCGGCTTCAAGTTCTTTTTTGTGGCTGTAAATAGCCAACCCATTTGGGTTTCGCAGCCGGTACAGTTTGTTACTGTCCACGCATACCTGCAAAAGTGATCAAACTGGCAACTTAACAACTTCGTAGTACTAAAATTCTAATCACATTTAAATCAGAGAAAATGATCAAGCTTTACGAAACCAACCTTGAAGTAACTTACAGTGACAAATTTCCAGAGATTTAGAAGGTGTGAATAATATAATCAAACAGTTGGCTTAAATTCACTAACATTGCAGCTAGATACCAATTTTATTCATACCTAATAAGTTCCAGTCATTCCATATAATTTATGATCATGATCTACGTTTATTTTTATTTGTTTAAGTATTACGAACTTCCAACAGTTTTGTGAGTTACATAACTTCGAATCCTTATGATTTTCATTTTACAGACCAATAAAAGAAAAACTATTACTCTATGCTTTGAAAAGCCATCAACAGGGAAAAAGACCATGTTAAGGACGATCGGTGTGCTAAAAGGTTTACGAAAATGCATGAAAATTAGTGTTCTTTAAGATAGTAAATTGGTCAGAGAATCAGAAGAATATTAAGGTACAGGTCCATACCCAGGAAACCAGCTGTATTCAGTCACTGCTGGCCCTATAAGTGCCAAGCCATTTGCTTTGTAGAGAGTCATTATCTCATGAACGCAACCACTTGGGTTCACGTAAGCACCAAGAGGACCTTCACTTGACATCACCAGCATATTACTCCGCCTTGCAATGATAGTCTGCATTGTGTACCCAAAAACATGTGTACACACACACACACACACACACAAAAGTCAATAAAACATATAATGGGCAAAGGGTATATACTTTTGAATGCATACACACGGGCACACATGCAGTGTTCTGAAGCAAGTACATTACCTGACATGTTTTACACTGGATAAGATCAAAACTCTGAAGCAACTCAATTTCTCTACGCAGCCTATATGAAACGCCGTCAATCTCCAAAAGCTCCTGCCTAGTACATTCCGAGACAGGAATTTTACTAGCGATAAAAAATGACAAAATATCAGGCTTCTTCACAAGACGATCCATGCTTGGTGCCCCAACTATCTGTTTCCACATCTCTGCAATGCAAGAAACTCACAAACTCTGTAAAGCTGAATCCTTAAACTCCATTTTTCATTTGATTAAAAGGATATTGCAAAATGCTAAACATTTTTAGCACGTATACCATGATTAGAAATTTGTTGCATATTCTATGAATCAAATAACTGTTTACTGGATTCACTATATTCTATGAATCAAATAACTGTATACACATAAGTAGTAAGCACCAACAATGTTTAGCTGTAACATTTAAAAAATATCATTACATAACTGTTTACAGTGCATAACGACTGCCATTATCACCAGACAATTCACTATAGATCATTACAAAAAGTAAGACACCCGAAATAAGAAATGCACACACAACATGACATCACACAGCATATCTACCAATTACCCGATAAAACTAAATATTGAAATGTCAAGCATTAATTATATTCTGCAATTTTCCTTTGTAATTCTTCCAAATTCAGACAATATTCTAAGGTTGTTTTACATCCATTATACAGTTAATCTGGAAACTGTAATGAAATGCTTTCAGTTAACATTAACATATAAAACTTAATATGCAAGTGCCTGACCCTTTTTCATTTTTAGTCCTACAAAGTGGTAATATCTTCTAATACATTAAGGATCACAACTTTTCGAACATCAAGTGTGAACACAAAGTAAAGTCAAATACCTGCTGCTCTTTGAGCAAGACAATACGAGTCATACATGCGTATACCCAATGGGGCCAGAATGCTCTTGGAACTCTACGAAACTGATTTAAGTCCGTATTTCTCCAACATTTATTTGGCTCTTCCTGTTTGCTGGATTGCATGTCTGACATGGAACTGCTTGCCAAATCAACATTACTAATCTCAGGGCACGAATGCAATGAAGCTGAAGAATCAGAGTCTTTTGATTGCAATTGTAACTGTGACTTCTCATCATCACTACTTGAAGTTGTTGATTCGTCCATTGTATCAGATCCAGAATAGGAACCAACTGCAGATTGGTGGATTTCTCTCTCAGTCAATGACAGTGCACTCTCAAAGCTTTCATCTGACTTTGCCTCTGAATCATTGTCCACATCCATAGATCCAACTGACTTTGCACGAGAATCATTTGAAGGCAGTTTAAGTGAGAATTTGTGGCCTCTTGGATTACTAAATGGTGCCAAATCTCCGAATGCATCCCTTGGGACCCTTGATGGTATATCTTCCTGGATGATTTGAACTTCCCCACATGGCTGAAAAATGAAAATTTCACACCAAATAAGACATTACATAAATGAACATGACCAAATAAAAATGAAACGGATAACAAACAATCAATCTCTCTCAAACATAAAATTTTTCTAACCGCTCCTTCTGCATCAATCCAACGGTGTCTTAGACGAAATCTCTGTTGGCCACGAGTTACCACATTCAGTGAGCCATCCTCTAATCGTCTATATTGCCGAATCTATAAACGGAGAAACATAAAAAGTTGAATAATTCAGCATGTTATAAAAGAAATAGCATAGGTTGAATAACAATTTCTACTTATGAGCAGTAGAATAAACTAAATATACCTCTGCGGTTGTCCCAACATTTGCAAGCCTTATTCTTCCATTATCTCTGAATACATGAATCTGAACAAAATTTCAGGGTTAAGAACAATGAAACAGCACGTAACAATCCAGGGGCAAAACAAGTCAAAAGTTGTCACAAGGAGTTCACCTACCACACCAATGGTATAAGGAGCATCAACTTGGTTTAGTGCTCTCTCAATAGAAAGTACAAAACTGGGTTGAATGACTCTTAAGGGAAGGGTTGCTTCTGGGAACAGGACAACTCCTGCATATAGAATGTAGAAGAAACCAAGTTCTCTTTAAGTAACAAAAATAAAAGTATTTTATACAAACGTACAAGAATATAAGTAAAATGATGACAAAAACAAGACCAACAGCAGACTTCACTTTGATTCTCTTCTATTTCTCGTCCATTCAACTTGCTCATTAGGGCAAAAACGTTTAGGACTAGCAGGTACTTGCTTCTATTGATTTTTTACGCTAATTTTATTAAGCAACTAAAAAACTTAAGACACAATGATGTTACGGAAGGTAGCTCTTGTAGCATCTCTCCCGAAGAACATCATTGACAGATAGCATTCACATGACAGTCTTTCTTTTTTACAATAAGCTAGTGATCTAACTGTCTCTCAGTCTCAACCAACAATTCATTCCATGATACATTCAATTATTTTCTTGAACAACTTTTCTTTACTACCAAAATGGCTATACGACTTTGCAACGCATGGCTTACACCTATGGCTAATGCAGTTACGCTAAAATGCCAAACATAATTCAACCGCTACCAAAACGAGTAACTGAAGTTTGAAATTACTTAACAATCAAATGTAAAATGATAGAACCTTCAAGATAAAAAATAGGGAGCTTCAAGACGGCGCCCCCATCCAGAAAAGCCACCCTATGATGAGTGTCTTCAACCTCTGTTTCAATCAAAATTAACTAAACGTCAACACTTTGAACAGAAAATTGTGGACAAATCAGTATAAAAACACAGGCAAAAGACCAAATGCCTACCACCGAGATACGTATGCAACGAAGCCACAGAGGTATCGAAAGCATAATCATCAGACGGGCCGCGACCATCACTGTCAAAATTTCCATAACAAATTCAACAAATTAGTGACATAATAAAATAAAAACACAAAATTTCATCTCAATTTTACTGTTATTATAGAAAAAAGGAATAACAAATGATATGATCAAATAACAACACTGATAAAACAAAACAAAAAAAAAAAAAAACATAAAATATCAAACTTGAGTTAGCTACTCGTCACAGAAGAATTCGAAGCTCTAGTTTCCAAATTAATCAAATGAAATGAAATTCTGAAGAGTTAGCAAGGAGGAGAGGGGAAATGATGATTACGTGGCGTCGCGGTCGTCGCCGGAGGAGGAGTCGTCGTCGACCTCTTCGACCTGCAGTTCTTCGAGATCGAGTTGTCGGATCTCCTCCATCTGCCGCCTCTCTCGCGCCAGAATTCGATCGTCGTCCATTTCTATCGCACTGTGGGAATTGGATTTGGTACGTTAGGGTTTTTCGTCTGGAAGATTTGAGAAGTTTGAAGAGTTTTTAAGAGGTTACCCGCCACTTCAGGTGCGAATTTGTCTTTTTCTCCCGCTCTCTCTTCTGATTCCCCAGTTCAGCTGCTTCACTGACTTTTCACGCCGTCGATGCCGATGTGTCACCCTAATATTTTAGGAGAGATTTTTTACTATGATCGGAAACGGTTTGATACATTATATGTCATTATATAAATGATGGGATATGTGTTCTAAAAAGTTAATAACTTAAAAAGTAAAATTTCCAACTACTTATATAAAAATACGTGATGTACCATTCGTGATCATAATGAAAAATTTCTCATATTTTAAGGGCTAAATTCTTTTTGTTATTATTCCTAAATCTCGATTTTGTTTGTGTAAGATTATAAATA